CTAAAATGTATATTTTATTTTTATCTTTTTCAGTTGAAAATGAGATGTTACTTTAAAGAGGTGTAGTTGAAGTAACGCACTACAAGTATGAGCTACTCTAGCATGCTAAATTTTTTTAAAAATAGCTATAGCGGTAGCTCGTTACTAATTTAGAAAGTAGAAAATTATCGCGATACGTCGCGGTCATATATTAATTTTAACTGAATCCAAAGGGCAACTGATGAATTTTTTGAAATAAATACAACTATTGAAAATCCTTTATATTCAATTTAATGCATTGCCCTCGAGTGCTATTAATTTATACTTTCTGATTTTGCTCTAGACTAGTAATTTTTTGCAAACTGCTTTAAAGCACTGCCTCCTTAAAATGTAAATTACAAAAACTCTTTAATATATTTGATTTTTTTTTACCAAAAATTAAAAAATTATTCCTATTTATCTTATTTTTAATAGTTTATTTTTGTCCATTTAAATATTAATAAATATATGAACCTATTGCAGTATAACAAAATTTAATATATAATATTTTTAAAAGCAATCTTGGTTCACTAAATTTATTGTAAAATTGTGTAATATATTACTGAGACGTTTAATAAATTAGTTTATAATAATAATATATTACAGAAATAAAATTTTAGTAAGCATTTTCACAAAAAATGTAAAACTTATATAAATTTTTTTAAAATGTATAAATGCTTTTAACTGGCGCCCTGGACTAAGATAAAGATATTTTCAGTCAAATTAAGGTCTCCTGAATAATCTGGCTTGCATAGCATTGACCTTATTTATTGGTTTTATTTTCGATGGTTTCACTTTCGTAGGATGGTTCATTACTACTAGATTACCTTTCATAGGAGTATTCATTGATATGAATGGATTCCTTCTCATAGGAGGTGGGTTTACTGATATTACTGGATTCGCTTCTATAGCTGAATATACTCCCCTGCTACTCATATCTGGATTCACTTTTGAAGATTTTGTACCAAAATCATAGTCTCTATTTCCACCGAAAGTAGGCCAAATAATTTTTGAACCTTTTGATACCTCTTCCCTCTTTCGATATATTTTGTTAGACGTGCCAATGGAAATTTCTGTCGTCATTTCAATATAACCAATATCATAGTTGAACCAGTTTTTACTGTTGGTGCCCGCGAACGGGTTAGATCTATCTAGTAAGGCATCAACTGGATTCAAGTAATGGGATGGTGTTGTGTAACGTACTGATATGGGCTTTAAGAGTCTTATGTAGCTTGCGAAAGAATTATCCAGAGAGTATTTCATGCAAATTAGAAATTGTAGTGGGAAAATCGATATATTCACTTTCCTCATTTCTATAAGTTTAAAAAAATCTTTCTTTTTTTCTAGAGAATCTTTCTCTAAATCTTTTTTTTTAGATATCTATATCTGTTAAATTTTCATAAATAATATTTTTACCATGTGGCGATAAATAAAAATTTGAGAATTATAAAGATATTTATATTTTAAATTCCCTTATTTAAAAAGAAAATTTTTTTGTGAGACTTAAAATTATTTTGTCTTTTTTAAATGATATTTTCTTTTTCAAAAGTTATAATATTTTTAAAATTTCAAAATTTAATATATTTAAAAATATAATAAATTTGCCTAACATTTATAACAGTTACTTAACTGACTTTTTATCAGTCAAATTATGACAATTTATATGATTTTAATTTAAACGTTTTAAAAAATTATATTCTTGTAAATTATTAAATAGATATTTATATATAAAAAAAAGATCATATTCAAAATTGTTGAATTGGCCTTAGAATAATCATCAAACTAAATTGATAAAACTTATTTTACCTCGTGTCCTCACTCACCTTGTTAGAAGTTTTTAGCCATTATTATTTGTGGCTTTTTAATTTTCTTTGTTAAAAAAAGAAAATATAGATAAAGGAAGAAATCGAAGAATGAACAGCAAATAGAAGAGATGATGAAAAAAAATAAGCTAAAAATGAAGAAAAAATTACTTAGAAACGTTACTGTTTATATATGTTAGTTATTGCTAATTTTTGTCTTACATAGAGCTCAATATCTTGATGACTAAGTATGTCACCATGATTTTAATATCATAAATTTAATGGCTTTATAATTTGAATTTTTTTTACATGATTTTAATATCATCAATTTAATGGATTTATAATTTGAACTTTTTTATAAAAAATTATCTCATATTTCAAAAAAAAATCTATGAAGAATTTTTTTCATCTCTTACCAATAAGTAGCTTCTTCTTTATATTTCATAGAGTTCTTTATATTTGTAAATTGTTTAAAGAGATGAGATAGACTCGCCTGCATTCAGATTGAGTTTAGAAATCAAATGAAAATTACTTAGTCAGCCGACTCGGTATAAATGCAGCCGATTTTTTTTTATTGTTTAGCAGTTAGAATCATCTGTCCGGTTAATTTTCACCATTTAATAATACCAAATGATTGGAAAAGAGAGAGGAGGTAGGGGGCTGTTTAATTTAAATTTATTTTTATAAAATCAGCTTAATTATAAAAACATTATAAAGATCCGGAATGTATAGGAGTGAACCGAATCAGCGCCTAATTACAAATACTGAATCTAAATACGGTCTTTATTCTTAAAACCAAACAAAGAACCGATGTAGGAGTTCATTAGTAATTCTTATTTATTTCACAAGGGATGAGAATCCTCCTTCTAAAAAAATGGGTTCGAGTTTGGGCTCGTGAAAAATCTCTGAACCCGTTCGGGTTCAGATAGTTCAGGGTTTGGAGACCATAAAAATAATTTATCATCATAATTATAATTACTACAATACAATTAAAAATTTACTAAATATAACAAAAATGATCAAAATGTTTTTTTTAAATAAATTTTTTAAAATTAAAAAAAAAGAAGGTTGAACCCTGAACTCTAAAATTTAAAAAAGGGTTTGGTTGGGTTCAGCGAAATATTGAGGGTTAGGGTTCTCGTCCCTGTATTTAACATTATAATTATCTCAAACAAAATTAGAAAATACTAAAGTGACAAAATAAATCACCCTAATATATTTCTTACGATAGATTTGATTTCAATTAATTATCATTTCAGTTTTTGTGGTGGATAAAATTTCATCATAATCATATAATTAGAGAAACGGTTGAAAGGAGAGGGCATACAATAAAATTTACCACTGTATAGCCCTTATCATAATCCTATTTAAAATGTTTTTTTTTTAATGGAAGAATTTGTCAGAAGCAAAATCTTAATAACGAGGAATTATTTCGTTTTATAGACCATGGAGAAACAGAAATATCTGAGAATTATTTTGGAAATATTGAGACCTATATTCCATAATTAATAGAAGGGGAATTTTATTAGTATAAATTTTTATTTTTTACTATATGTAGCATATAAATAAGGAATCACTAGGATCCATATAATTCCTTATTACAAACAAATAAACCATTTATACCAATAATATTAATCATATATATTCCGATAACATCATAATAATCAATATATAAAATCCATAACACCAGCAATCGTTCTAGAATTTAACACAATCTCAGAAAACCACATGATCCGGATTGACGATTCTTGGACATCACTGACACTTTTCCTTCTCTGATTGAACTTTTTCCTTTTTTTTAATCGGACTTTTTCCAAAGCCTTTTCCCTTTTGGATTGACACATTTAATTTTTTGATGGGATTTTTTCCTATTTTGTTTGAAACTTTCAATTTATTGATCGGATTTTTTCCTTCAGACCTTTTCCGTTTATGATTGACACTTCTTTTTTTTCGATTGGGACCTTTTCTTTTAATCGAAAGCTCTGTATCTATTAGCGATAAAAGTTTTGCTATTATGTATTAGCTCTAAATAGATATTGGTAAAAGTTCTGCTATAATAAATTCTCTATATGGTGTTTGCTGAGCATGCGAATATGAATTTTATATAATAAATTCGCGATGTGTTTTTTAATATCGCTAATTATTGTTTGTTAAATTTAAAACTGTATAGCTTTTGAAAAAAAATCTTCAGAAATTTTTGGAGTAAAAATCTGTAATATAAATTGTGATTTCAACTTGAGAGATCTGTTATATTTAGAAATTATAAAAGATTTAATTATATATAAAAGAATTTTTAGGTAAAATTTGATCAATTTAACCATCTTCTTTAAAATAGATTTTTTAGATTAAATAAAAAATATACATTTTAATAAGTTTAATTATTTTCTGACCAAGATATCCATCCATTAAACTTCTTTATAATATTTTTGAATATAAAGAAAACCGCTGTCAAAAACTCTACAGGAGAAGAGAAGACGCCTCACCCCCCTTGTTTTCATTCATAATATACAAAAATGATATTTATATATTAACTTATTTTCATCATATAGTTTAAAAATAATTATGGCATTTTTATTTTTCTTTATTCCATCTTCACTAGAAATCATACTATAACATATTTATATTTAATTTTATCAATTTGCTAAATTCTAAAAAAATGCAACTTAAATAGTATATACTGAATTAATATTTTAGGAAATATTTTCATTTTGTTGGCGGCGGGGTTATTAATGATATTTAAAAAAAATTATTACAGGAACTTTTCTTTCAGAAAATTATTTTCCACTTTATATTTTTTAAATCGAATTACCAGGATTTATTTTCCAGAGGATTTTTCTGAAAATTATTTTCCGCATCCCATTCCTAAAATAAGAATCGAATAATTTTTTTCGTTATATTGGTCCAGATAGCTTTCTTTTTCTTTTAAAAAAAGGCAGTTAGTCATTCTTTTAAACGGTGATTTTACATTGTTTCCCCCTTTAAATTTTATATTTGCGTAATCCATTCATATTTTATACAATGTGGATAAAGATTTGAATAAAATTGATTATTTTAGACATATAAATAATTATGACACAATGAATATTTTAAGTAATAGAAAAGCTATTGAACAAATAATTTGATAATTTTCTATCATATATAATAATATAAATCAAATAATTTATATGATAACAAAAAAAATATTGGCACAAAAGTTTTATCACACAAAATAAGGACTAAAATTTTGAATATAATTTATTTTAAAAAAAACAGTTAATGTAAAATATGAAACTTTTTTACCTTATTAATATTTATAAGATACTATTTAAACAGGATCACGAAATTAATAAATTCGATAATAGAGTTAAATTTCACGTAATTTATGACTAGAACGATGGAAGAAATTTTAAATAAGTCTCTTAATTTAAGGGAAAAAAAGTAATTTAATTGTTTGACAAATTGTAATTGAATTGATCGAAAATCCTGGGGCATTCTTTAAGGGACCTTGACGAGTCTCATGGTATTGGTAAAGCCAGAGCCAGCTTGCCAGCCAGTGACTACAATAACGGTGTCCCCAGCCTTCAAGATATGTCTGTGTTCTTCGTCTTCTTGACATTTAGCCTTATCTATGGCCATTTTCACTCTGCAATCAACGTCCTTCATCCAGTCGCCTTCCTTTTTAGCTGGGTTGTAAATATTATTATTTGTAATAGTTTTTATTTCGTTTTAAAAGAGAGAAAATATATTTTGTAAATTATTTATCTACACATTCACGCCTTCTTCCTTTGTTTCTCAAAACATTCTAGTTCAAGTATCTATCTTTACTCATACCTCTCTCCAGGAAATATCATACCTCTCTCAGAAGTTTAAAAAAAGATTGATTAATTAATTACTTGGACAGAAAACTGGTATAACACCGCAGTAGAGATTGAGATTTGCGGCCACACTCCATACCCTGGTAACTGCGTAAATAGGACATTTTGGTCTGTATTTTGATATCAGTTGTGCACTCCTGTGTTAAAAACGGGATAAGTAGAGATTTCAAAAAATATATACATAAATATTAGAGATCTGTAAAGCCTGGCCCGTTAAAATATTCGTAAAACCTGCCCGGCTCATTAAAATTTTACGAAAAGTAAGGCCCGGCTCGTTAAATCTTACGAAAAGTCAAGCCCGGTTCCTTAAATTTTACGAAAGGTCAGGCTCGGTTCGTTAAATTTTACGAAAAAGTCAGGCCGAGCTCTTTAAATTCTTTGAAAAATGTGGCCCAGCTCTGTTAAATTTTTCGGCCATTATATTTTTAATCTCCATATCTAATTCCCCTCCCCCCCTCTCAATGTCAATTAAGGCTCCTATATCTCTCCTCTATGCCAATCTATTTTTTTTTTACAACAAACGGTTTTACAAAATCAATTCGTTTGATATCTGCATTGTGTATTTGTAATTGGGTCAAATCAAAAATAAAATTTTTTGTGACTATAATATTTTATAGATTTAATATTTTAGCTAGAGAGTTTGTAAAATACAAAGAAATAAGCATAATTTATCTAATAGTATTAATCAAAATATTAGCTAGCAAATCAAAAAAAGATATCAAAAATTTATGAGACCCTGCCTGATTATTATGTATAAATTGTCAGACCCGGGAGATCAGATTTTTGGATATTTTGAATGGGCTGAACTTTGCAGATCTCAATATTAATAAAAACAATGTTATTAGCAATTGTTTAATAAATTGGTTTTGTACCGAAATTCCCAGATACCAAAGCATTAAAAAAATAGGATTTTACATAATATCAATTTGAAGATTTAACTTATTACACAAAGAATATAACCCCTTATGCGCGAATTGGCGACATGCTGTATTTTTGTATTCTTCGCCACAAATTCGCACTAACTGTAAATGAGAGGTAAGGCTTATAATATAACATTATTTTAACGCATTTAAATGTGGGTTCATTTATAACTACATCGGAAGAAAAAAAACTTCTGGAGTATGAATATAATAGAAGAATAAAAGTTGAGTTTTGAACCTGAAACCCTTTGGAAAGCGAGATACAGGAAGAGGAAACCATTTTTTAAGATTTAAAGGAACAAAGTGATTTATAAAATATATTATTTAAATGTTGCGTTATTCATTTTAGAGGGTTAATTAATTGTGAAATTTTTTAAAATATTCTTTTAACAGAGTTTGGAAATGAAACTAACCTATGTCAAATTTCCACTTTTCCAAATTTGTAAAGGGTAGCAACATTTTAAAGAGGGGGCTCATGATTATCCTCTTGAATCCAACTTCCTATGATGTCAACCCTCTCATACCTCCCAAACGATTGATAATATAAAATAGTAAGAGTAAGAAGAGAGAAAATTTATTGAATTACTTTCCAGACGTAGTAAGCACTATGATAGCTTTGGCGTTAGCCTTGAAAGAGGCCTCTACGGCTCCGATAGCGACGCATTCCGTCGTTTCAGTGGGTACTTTGCATTGGCTCACCAAATCCTGGAATTTTTGTTTGTGAAATACTGCTGCTTCGGCTTCCTTGTTTATCTGCAGAAGAAAAAATAGTTTAGACCATCTATTATAAAAGGAATCGAGAGGAATTGTAAATTAAGGAAAGATTAAGGCAAACTTTTCAAGTAAAATATATCGATATAGTGGCATCACCGGGGGGAAGCACAGAGGCCTAAGCCCTCTGAAAATTTTTTTATACCTAAAAAAGATCATTTTTAAAATTTTTGGTCATTTAAAAAAAAAAATTTCATTCACAAATAAGAGCAAGAAATAATTTATAATACAAAAACACTTACTATCGAACAGAGAGCCACAGAGGTAACATTTGCAGGGCCTGGCTCAAATTTTTTTTAAATTATATTTTATCTATTTTTAATTTTTATAGAATGGCGATTTATAATATTCGGATTCAAAAAATTTTCTAGGACAGTTAGGGGTATTTTTAATAAAAAAAAATTTAGGCCCAGCATGGGTATATTTAATAAAAATTAAAATATGGCTGAAAGGTCTCTGCTATTCAAAAAAATTTGTGCTTTTAAAATTTTTTTTTTTAAAAAAATATTTGTTATTTGTTTATTGTTTTGCATACATATTAAAATTCAAAAAATGTTTACATTTGTTATCTCGTTAAAAAAATTTTTTTTTGATCCAAGGCCAAAGGTAAAGCTACGGCTCGATTTTTAAAAACAGCTAACCCAATATTCTAGCTAAAAAAATATATAAAGCAATTCTGGAGATTTCGCTAATAGATGGCGGAAAGGTTTGAAGATCGTTTAACAAAATCTCGAGGTTTGCGTAATAAGTTTGGCTAAAATCTTTATTTAAAATGGGCTAAATCGAGCCTTTTAACGAAACTAGGTACCGCCATTGTATTTTGATAAAACGCTTTAAGACAAGCTCTATTACCAAACATATAAAACTATAATAAATTATTAAGTCGGGATTAGTTTTTATTTTATTTATAGAGGGAAAAAGTGTAAACAAGGTTATTACGGAAAGGGGTAACAGCTTTTAATAATATTGGTATTAGAATAAGAATAACGAGTTCATATCACATCTAATCCAAAACAGTGTTTTTTTTTAAATATTTAAATTTATTTTTGAATTAAATATGTCAGCTGTGTTGACTTTGTAAATATTTTTAAAAATCCTGGCCAACTTGACGAATATTCGGGTGTGTGTGGGTGGTGGAGGGGTAAATAAAAAGGTAAATTTTTCCCATTTCAAATATTTATATTAAACGTGGTGTGGGAGAGGCAACGTCCCCGGCCAGATAATGAATGTTTAAAGGGTTTCCTGCGGTCGGATTAAATATGATCACCGTTTTCCTCAATGAGATGTAAAAGCTATATAATTGATGTCAGAAAGGGCATCCGATCGTAAAAATAAACTCCAAAAACCGCTTAATGATCACAACAAAAAAGGGGAATATATCTTAAGGGTTGGCTCTTGTGCCCCTCCCCAAACCCTTATAGTTAATTTTTTTAGGAATGCGAACGTTTTTTATAATATAAATTAAATAAGATTGATAACAGAGGCTATTTAGCACTCCCGCCTCTCTCAGATCATTAGAATAACTTAACCAACATTTGAAAGGGTTGTTTAGAATGTGAATAAATGGGAAGAGTAAAGTTTATAAATAGCATATATATAAATAAGAAGGAAAATACCTGGCACATCATTTGTAAAGTTTGGAGAGGGTATTTACCCTTGGCCGACTCGCCCGATAACATTGTACAATCAGCACCATCTAGAACCGCGTTCGCTACATCGCTAACCTCGGCACGGGTAGGGCGAGGATTGTTGACCATGCTTTCAAGCATCTAATAACAAAATTTATTTCTTAATATAATACTAGAGGGTAGGGCTGTTACGATTATTATTCAGTATTCCGATCCATTATATTCCGATATTACAATAAACCTGATCCAATAAATGTTCATAAAAAATAAACCCGAGCTACCTTTCACAAATGGATTAAGTGTATTTTGTTTATTCTCTGAAAGTTAATCTTATTTAAAATTTGGGCAAATGAGGTGTTGTTAAACGCCTCAAAAACAGCGAAATCAAGATTTTTACGAAAATATTATTACCCTATACCTACAAAATTCCGCAAATAGATAAAAAGGAGCGAATATTAGCTGTCCTATTTAAAAACGGGCTATACCGATTCGTTTAACAAACTTACTGAATGTGATCTCGTTAGATCCTTTTTTTTCAAAACCTTTTGCTTGTTGCAGTTAATATAACAACATATTTTTTTTAGCTACTCTTCCCCAATGATATAAATAAACTAGATTGACAATTTATTCATTAAATGCATTTTAAAGTGTCCATGCATAGGAGTCAGCTGTAGCGTCATTTTGTGGTTTATACGTCGATCAAATGATATCAATATGCATTCATATAATGATAAATAAAAATATTTAGTCGAAATACAAACTACAAAATGGCGCTACAGCTGACTCCTATGTATAGACACTTTTAATTAATGCATCGCCAATCTAAAAGTATATATATAAATCATATGCTCCATCCTTTAATAATTCGATTTTAATTTCATTTTTAAACACTACAAATCAAATATGGATTTGGATCCCTTTTAATTAATTTTGAGATTCCACATTCCCCAAAGATTTCATATTCACAATATAAGACATGTAATAATCACCAATAAACAGTAAAAGTATCAGATCAGTGTTTTTGAAAATATTGGCCCGATATATTTTTAAGAAACTGTAAATTTCGGGCCTGATCCTAAGTTTAATATTGGTGCAGAGTAAATAAATCTCTCACTTATTTATCTGTCTATTCTCAGAGACCTGTAGAGGTCAAAATTTTGTTGATAAAAAAAATGCATTTTCAAGCCTGCTGTGGGATATTTCTGGTCCAAGTTTCCGATTTATATTTACGATCATTTTTAGGCCTGTTTCAAAAATTTTGTGGGATAATTAAAAACGAAATTGCCTAACTTTTTAAGGCTGCTTAGTCGAATCTATATAATTTAAAAATAAGTCGAATCAGGACAAGGCCTAAATAAATCAGCCCAGCAAATATTTCTAATTTTAGCCCTGAATTTTTATAATCACACCCCTTTTTGGCCCTTTCTACAGGTTTCAAACTTGCAGGTCTCTAATTTATACAACACGATTATTCATTGATTGATTTACCTGAGTAGCACAAATACTAGGCTTTCCAGCAATATTGCATTTCCCTATTATCATCTTTTGAGCTAAAAACACCTTTTCGGGTGGAATTTCGATACCCATATCCCCCCTTGCCACCATTATACCATCTGATGCAGCAATGATCTCGTCTATGCTATAATTTTTTTGAAAATAAGATATATTTGATTTGAGATTTTTCAAAATAAACGTCAAAAAAAAACTTGAAAAACAGTAGGATAGTTTTTCAATCTTAATTCCAAGAAATATATATTTTTTAAATCAATATTTCCTTGTGCTGTTAAAAGTAACTTATCACTATTTACCCCTTAAAAGTGCAACTAGTTACATTATTTTAAAAAATTAAATTTCGAAAATAATTAGTTTTACAAGTGTTTATAAATAATATTTTTAAGAATTTTAATCAAAGGAATTTTAAATGAAAATACAATTTATACAAAATAATTGCAACGGAAAAGAAAATATGCCACATAAATATTGTTTAAATTTTTTTGTAATCTATAATATATTAGTTACTAGTTTTAAATGTAACTAGTTTTAATAGTTACAATACTAACATTTTCCTATTTATAAATATGATGTATATACTTAAAAATTCCTTGATGGTTTTCAATCTTGGGAATAATTTTGATATCTCTTCCACTATCTCCCATTACAGCTCTTATATCATTCACACCTTGGGCGTCCCTTATGAAGCTAGCGAATATCATATCCACCTGAATTTGTGCAAATATGTATATATATAATATATTAATAGACATACAATATATTAATAAAAAGAATATCTAAAACCATTATAATATATTTTTTTAAAGAAAGAGTTTAACTATTTATATTTTATATAGCATTATTTAACAACTAGCATATTAAAAAATTACTACAACTGTAAATCCCAAATAAAAATCAAGTCTTTCAAAATAAATTTTTTTTTGTAAATAAGATAAGATATCAAAGTTGTTCTAATTAATTTTTCAGATAATTTCCTATTCGTCTATATATCTTTTTTCCTTCTCCTCGTTTTTCTAATTATGAAATATTTCTACATGGGTTTTGAATTCACCTTATTTTGAACACCAAATAATAAATCTAGTTTATCCCTTTCAGAAACTGCAGGCAAGTCCACTGGTACTCCGGGAAGATTTACCCCCTTTTGACTTCCCAATTTGCCTCCATTCTCTACAACACATTCCACTGTGCCTTTATCAGGGTGCACTTTCACAACCTTAATTTCATAGTAAATATATAATCGTATACTTAAAATAACCAAAAATTCAAAATAACACTAAATTATATTTTTTAAAATGAAGATTTTATATTCATGTTACATAATAATTTACCATTACCATAACATAAATAAACTTCTAAAAAATATTAATAATAAAGCAATGTGATTTAGTGTAGTCAATAATATTACTGTTTTAATCAATAGTTTTTTGATGCAAGGGTTATTAAATGAGGATTTACTTACTATTATATAAAGTTCGATTTAGTATTATGCTTAAAATTAAACACAAGGATGATATAATATGATCAAGTTGAATATTATAAATTTTATGCTTATTTAATAATTTTCTAAGCTAGTCATGGCAATTTCAAATAGAAAAACAATAAACAGATGGAAATAAAAATGGTTTTTAAAATTAATGTATTTGAATTAGTAGGAAATACAGTTATCACTATAATAGTGTGCACAAATTGAACGTTACAACGCAGCGTTTCAAAACGCATATATAAAAACGTAAACGCAGCCTTGTTTAAATTGATGCGTTAAGTTTAATTTTAATATGAACCCTTTAAATTTAAAACAAAAAAAATTACTTGCCTTATATTTCCTTAAAAATATAAAGAAAAAGGAGCAAGACATCTCAAATATATGTTAAAAGAAATCTTTTTTCTGAATATATTAATAATAAAGGAGATTTAACACATTCTCAATTTTATAATTATACAAGATGAGGTAAAATAAATTTAATTCATTATTAATTATTTATATAATAGGTATTTATGGTGTATAATTTGCACATCTTGCTTATAGCTCAAGGATTTAAAAATCCTGTACAGCTTAAATTGTGAAATCAGTGTGCACAGAAATTTGAAATGCTGCTGTACATATTCACATGCCTAAGCCTAATAAAAATGATTGGGAAAGAATAAATTTATTATAATAAATCAAGTTTAATATTTACTTATCATTAGTTTTCCCAGGAATTCCTGCTTCAATCAGGATTTCCAAATTGTTTTGGGGCTATAGAAAAACATCTATATCAAGAGCCCTCTTAATAGTGGCTCACAATTTTTTAACTGCAAGCATAGATTTTCAATTAACTTGTTAGCCCTAACAGACATTAATAGGAAATTTATTTATATAGATATGGGAGCATCTGGAAAGCAGAATGATGGTAGATTTATATTAATTTTATTATATCTTAAAAATATATTAATAGTTGGTGAACCATAGACTTGATCTGCCTGCTTTATGTAATCATCCAAATTAGATACAATGATAAACCTCACTACAAGACTTTTCTTACCTAGCAGACAAAATAATTCTACTTCAATGGAATCAAAAATTATTAGAGACAAATATAAAAATTTTATAAATTATTAAATTTTTATATTTATATTTTATTAAATTTATTTATGAAAATATCTTATACTAAATTGTGTTATAGACAATTATGTTATTAAATGATATAAAATAGATTGAATATTAAGAAAAATTTATTTAATATATTAAATCTTAATATGGACACTATTCTAGGTGTAGCCTCTTGAGCTATTTAAAATCTTGAGGAATGAACCTCAAACTTAAAATAATATCAATTCTAATATCTTAAAACATCATTTATTAAAAATATACAAAATACATACAATACAGTTTTATAAAAATTAAATAATTTATATAATGCTATTAAAAATGTCTAATGGAGAATCATTGTCAGGTTGTGATGATATATCATTTGTCTTGAGATAATATAAATATTTCATAACCTTTGTTTTAAACAGAAATTGCTTCTCATAGCTTAAGGATTCAGCCTCCTCTACAAGGCTATTCAAAAAATGCCTAACTAAAATATAAATTAGCTTTACAACATCCCAGATGGGCTTTCTTCCAAAACATTTATTAACCTATTAAATTCATTCAGTACTTTAGGTTTTTTTGTTGTTGAGTTCCACTTGAAAATTAACATTTCTAATATTTTATACAAGGTAATTAACTTTTTGAGAATAAATAATTTTTTAAGAATAGTAAAATATTTTGTGGAATTTATTCAAATATAGATGGTAAGTAAAATCAATATAAATTTTGGATCAATATTGGATAGGCTTTGTAGTAACATCAGAACAGAATTTGAGGATTGGCACAGCCCTACTCTTTATTTTCCAAGTAGTTATTATCAACTTACCAATAAAATAAATAACATGAATATTTAATTAAGTAGATTTTCCTATTTTCTCCTTATTCAGCTGATACTTGAAGTTTCTCATGAAAATGAGTTTGGCATTTCTGCAAACCTTTCGGCAATTTCATCGTTCCATGTCCTAAAAATATTGTTATATCATTTAATAATAATTATTTTAGAAGAATTTTATCATTTCAAAATTTAAAAAGTTTCAAAAAACGCAAGCAAGTTTGTCTTTTAAAAAATTATTTAAAATGAAAAACGGAAATGTGCTCAATTTGAACAAATGCATTTAAAATGCATTGTTTGCTTTTTGAAATGCTGCATTGCAACGTTCAATTTGTGCACACTATAATGCAACAAAAAACTATTTTAACAAGATGGGTCCACTCAAAATTTTGTAAGATAAGTAAATTTTATTTTAACATTTTTGGCTCATGCTACTGTCAAAATTTATTCAAAAATTAAGAAAACTAATTTATAATTGTATTCCCAATATAATTATTTATAATGAAGCAAGCTTATATATTCAAAAATGTATGTGAAAAAATTTAATGGTCTAGGCCATCTTAACAGACTAGTTGTAATAATACCAAGGGAAATTGAAATCATATTAATTCATAAGATAAATTAGTAGTGTAATCTGCTGTGAATGTGATAAATAAATGAAAGTTGAAATATATGCGACAAAAGGAAGGAATCAGTAGTATTTTTGAATTTTTATTAGCTGGCATCTGGATTTTTTGACTTTGGGAAATGATTTACCCCCTGCCCCTCCTACTGTGTACATGCCTAGTAGATTTTATACTTTTGAAAAATCAATCCATAATGCTAACAATGACTAATCAGATTAGATAAAAACAATTTTTACCCTAAATTTGGAATCCCATTTGTTATTCTTTTATTCCTTATTTTTTTTAGAAAATATAACTATTTTTTATTGATAAAATAATATACCAACCTTTAGAGAGAGCAGTCCATCATCAATAAAAATCTTGTGGTCAGGAGAGATCACTTTGGGCAAATTTACATAATCCATGTAGATTTGATCTTTAGTGCCATTTTCAAAATGAGCTTTGTCTGTGCTGATTTTGATAGGGTCACCAGCTACCAATACTATTTCCTATATTTAAAAATGCTTATTTTAATAATATATTAAAAATCACCTTATTGATACTTTAATTTACTGATTCATTCATCATATTACATATTTATTTAATTATAAAACCCTAATCTTTTGCAATTTTCTAAAAAAAAACAAATAAGCATCCACTTCTATTCTTTCTTCAAAATTATAATCATGCCATGACCTTTAAATATAATACTTTTGTTCCCACCCTTATATAAATAAATTTGGCCTAAAAAACAAAAGAAATTAAAGATAAAATTAAATTAAACCCCTCCAGATGCCATCCCAGTTCGAATTTCTGGTCCTTTTGTGTCAAGGGCAATGGCTACAGGAGCTGGGGGATCGAAGGAGGCAATAGCCTCCCTTACAAGCTTTATTGTCCCAGCATGATACTAAATAGTCAATAAATAATCATTTAATTAATCAAAAATGTGTATTATCCATATTTTCTGTTTATTATAAAAGTATCTTTACTTTCTAATCTAATTCTTTTCAATTATTTGATTAAATTCTATACCTATACATCTATCTTTTTTTAATTCTAGATAATAGATATATTTTATTGAATAGGTAACCTCTATACATATATACAAATAAAACCAATAATGTTCTACCTCATGTGTGCCATGAGAGAAATTCATTCGAGCTACATTCATTCCTGATTTGATCATCTTTTTTAACATCTCTAAATCTTTACAGGCAGGGCCTAATTTATTGTAGTAATTAAAATATAAGATTGAAAGTTTGGCAAAAAAATAAGATCTAAATGAATATTTATTAATAAAATTGCATTATGATTATAGACAAAATTATACCTATAGTGCAAATGACAGAAGTTTTTCTTATAATACTGGGTGGATGTCTGATGTCCAAACTACACATATGTTGCAACCTAGTTACCACATCATGATTATCACAGCAACCACACTTATTTTTATCGCATTTACATTTATCACATTTCTTAGCATCCTGGTAAATTAAGATTAAAATATTATACATAAAATAGTGATAAATATGACTCAATAAAATATTTCTAAGTGAAAAAATTTATTTTAAAAATTTATCATCTAAATGTACTAATAACCATATATTGTATTGGTTGATACAAAATTTAAAATTATATAAAGAGTTTATTATATTATAGTTATTAATTAAATTATGTAAAGTTTACGCTGTGCTTTATGAATTCAATTCCTTTGTTTAACAAGTCCATAAGGTTATTTTAAGGTGGATTATAAAATTTAAAATTTTAAATAGGTTAGATGCCAAATGTATGACAAGTTGGTTCCCAATATTTATTTTTTTCAATTAGATTTTAAATTTTATAAGTCAAAATTTTAAATATATTGGAATTGGGAATGTCAATGGAATAGCAAGATTAAAAAGTTATTAATTAATTATATCTTAGATGGCCCACATGATAACAAGACTTTAAATTTATTCAATGCTAACCAGCGTCTACATGACAGTATATTCACTGGATGCAAACCCCCCTCAAAAATATATATCTACCCCCCTAAAAATACCAAAATGTTATCCATAGATAATTTAAAATGGTAATGGAAAATTTTCTAGATTATTATAGCCTACCCCCCATAATGCCTACCCCAACCCACTACCACCTACCCCCTACCCCTTTATAGATATTAGGATGCAAACTGTTCCTACCCCCCCCCCCCACCCCCGCTCATGTAGATACTGATGCTAACATATACCAACGGAATTTACTTATTTAACTCTCTTATCTCATAAAGTAATTATGTAATATGTAATTATCGAGTATAGGCTTTTGCTTTGCCTAAATTTTATCTTCCTATAAATGTTTAAATCATAGTTTTTGGATTGATATGTATATGCAGCTTGCCCACAAATGTGTAGAGGGCTCCTTATTTTTAATTTTTCTTCCAATTTAATCTAATTTATTCCAGTTAGATGGAGGTGAGGAATACCTAGTGACTTTGTTGAACTTTGACGAAAGGGCTCATATATCACGATTAAAATATTTTATATTATTCCTATATCTGATGTAAACTTTATTAAAGAATTACCGGCATCGAGATAATAAGGAAGAAAGTTATCAATTTAAATAGTAGTCTTTAACATGAGAATAATTATTATATGTGTTACCAAAAGGGCGGGTCCAGCTGATTTGCTTTTAACGACATTTAAAAATGCATTTCTTACTATAAATGAAGTTTATAAACAGCTTTAATTTATGAATTTTTGAAGATTAAAGATATATTATATAATATATTAAATCAAATCTTCTATAATATATATGCTATGATTATCAAAAGAAATATTAAATAAAAAAAGATAGTTAAAAAAAGATATATTTATACTACAGGCAGGAGGATCTAATTTTAAGGAGGGTGGGGGGATTTACGATATTAATTTTCTGGGTCTGTTTAGCTTGACAGTAAACTGACAAAGGCTTGGGCTCAAAAATGCAACCTAAAACCGAACTATCCATTGAGTCATAAACAACAACCAACCCAAATATAATAGGCCTCATGACATATACCAACCCATCATGTCTGCTGGGGAAAAAAATGTGAAAATATTTCAGATAATATTATATTTTAAAATTTTTGTTAAAAGAAATTATAAGCTAGTAAAATGTTACTTCCCTTAATATTTAATCAACACGGATAATTATAAAAAATGCACTGCCATTATTATTTTACTCTTACAAGGGATAAATATTTTAAAAGTATCAAAGACTCTGTTTTGAGTCCATTAAAAGTTTTTAGTTTTAAAAAAAAGTTCTCTAAAATCTTTAGGTATAATAAGCAATAGAAAGTGTAATTATTTTTACGTTACAAGAAAAACAAAAAATTATCAAAAAAAAATACAATATTTTATTGCCAAGTTAAACATCACGTCTTTGGAATTAGAAAAATAGTTTTAAGACATTTGGATATAGTAAAAAGTTGTCATTTGAAGTAATGTTAGAGAGAAATTTGGACATTTATCTGTTTATAAACTAATTTAAATGAATGCATGATATTTTCATAAATGTTAATATAAGAGAGTAACAGCGAATATTTTACATATTTATTTTTTCCTTTCTAGGGCCGTGTCCTAAGTCGGCTTAATTTGGATACTTTATTGCTTTTAAGTATAGGCTAAATGGTATTTAATCGCGGACTCCCAATGTTGGTGCATTTTAATATTTGGTTGTCGTATTTTATTCTAGTTTTTATCGTTTATTTTTGTTTTTGTTGCTGTTTTTTCTTTGTCTTTCTTTCTTTTTTTTTCTCTTGCTTTTTTGGTTATTTAGTCTATACTTGAAAGATAAGTATTAACCCAATCTAGGACACAGTCTAAGACCTTAATTTTTAATAGATAAGCGTTGACAGGGAGTTGGACAAGGGGAAATACTCTCCTAGGAAATTTGCCTATTACCGTAATTATCATTTTAAGCTAAAATCCCTCCAAACCCCCCTCACCCCTAAAAAAGCACACAATATATCTTCAAAGGAGAACTTGAAAGAATAATTAGTTAAAGATAATAACTTTTTAAAATAACAAGTATAATTGAAATTTTTAGGAAAAAAACATTTTTATGAAAAAAGTGAGAAACCAAAATTATTTTAAATATAGGCAAAAAGGTTGACCTAAAACTTCTAATAAATTATATAGTGAAAAACTCATCTAATAGACTCCTCTCTGCCAAAATCCTGGCTATAATTTGACAATTGCTATTATCTTTTACGGAAAGAAATTATGTTTTTCTTATTGTAAAAGAGTTATAAGCAGAGTTGTACAAAAAATCAAAAAATTTTGAGCAACAATCTTCAAGAATCTTCTTTGAAGATCGTAAAATTTGAAGATCTTTTATTTTAGAAAAATTTTAAGCAATCTTTGAAGATCTTTTATTTAAAAATATATTAGATCAACGATCTTCAAAAATCTTCATATTTTATAATGTTATAGTAAATTATTATTTTTTTGATATTATTTTTTGAAGTAAATGGGTTAGTAAGCATGTTAAATTAAAATAAAAATTCAATAAAGATGTAATAAGACTTCTGTGTATGATAAAAGTTGTGGCTGCTATTTTCTGTTCCACCAGAAATTTTTTTTTAACTATTCTTTTCTCAGAGTTAATGACTTTCTGTATTAGAATATTAAAAAGAAATACTAATTACTCTAGTAAATATTTTTGGTGTACCGGTTGTATACGTTTGAACCATAGGATGTTAAAGCCAATTAATTTCATTTTTAAATTTAAAACACTAGTATATTAAAACTTGGCCCTAATTAGAGACCTTCATAGGCCTTAATTTTTTGACCAAGCCCGGACCAGGCCAGCAGTAAAAAATTTTTTTTGGCCTAAGCCCGGCCAATATTAAAAATAATTTCCAATTCCGGCCCAAGTCCATAATAAGTTCCACAAAAATTTCCCAAGCCCATATATAAATATTTTACTTTTTTTTATTTAATGAAAATTAACAATATTTAAATATATTTGGGTAATCATTATGTTTACAATACTGAAATTTATTAATATTAGAAGAAAAAAAGGCAATATTTTATTAAATAAGTAATTTTTTTAAATAATCTAAATTTAAATTTAATATTTTTAGGCCCAAGCCCAGCCAAACCCAGCCCAAGCCCATTAAAATTTTTTTTAGAAACCCAGGCCCGGCTCAGACCTGCTAGAAAATATGATAATGGGCCGGGTATGGACATGCGGGCCTCGGGCCGGCCAGGCCCATTAAGGCTAATACTCATAGATGACAGGAAGATTTGAACATCTATTATGGAAATCTCCAGGACTTGAGTTTTATTATCTTGACTAAAATCTTAATTTAAAATAGGTCAAATCGAGCCGTTTAATAACACTACTATCTACCATCTCTCTAACCCTTAGTTTATTTACCTGCTCCTTGCGCTGTCTAGCTTCAGAAAAGGGTTCAATAAGTGATGAAATTAATTACAATAAAAAAAAATTAAAAAATTTGGCTATTTTTGTCCGATGTTTATTTGTTCGAGAATATATTGGTCTAATATCATTTTACCCGGGGCATTCTTGTACGGGTTAATCAAATTAATTTAGCATTTGTATTTTTATGTCAAATTTAATTAATAATTGTAGGTAGTCAAACAAAAATTAAAAGACTTTGGATCAATTAGTGTCTGAATTGAGCATTCAATTGCTGAAAGACTGCAAAGGTACTTGATGTATAATGGATGTCTAACAGTCTTCATAAAGAGGCAGTTGGAAATTATGTCTACGCTTTTGGAATAAACATCGTATTGAGTAATATAGAGTATTGGTTGAGTTGATTTTCATACCCTATTGCTATTAAATTATATAAAAATGCACACATTAAAATAAAAACAACGATGAAACTAGTTTACAAAGGTAATATAATATAACATATACATTGATAATGTCAAATTAGATCGTGAGAGGGTTAGTACTTATAAATACACTTTCAACCTGGTCTAAAAAAAAAAGAATTCAAATTTTTGTAGAATATTTAGCGTTACAATATATTATATCTCCACACAAAAAAATTTAAATATAAATCTGCCAAATTTTTATCCATTACCAACCATATCAATAGGCATTATGGATTTGTGATAATCACAATTTTTTTATTTACAATGAATACCTTCAATATATCCTTTTCTCCTTTATAGTTAATGAGTAATTGCTCTATTTTTTTAACAGTTTTTGCATATTTTTAGCAGTCCAAAAAACGGCTAAACCTAGGTTTTAACTGAGATTTTTTTTACTTTGGCCTCGTGTTTTTTTTGAAAAATATGGCTTAATATTGAGGAATCAGTGACTAGAAATTTAATGCAATATACCAAATTATTAGTGTTGTTAAAGTTAATTGGTTATTACAGATAATATTCTAGGGAAAGCTTATCAATGGAGAAAAGCTAGCACACCATTTGGAAACCAACTCTTAAGTCAAATAAAATTTATTAAGTCCAAATTTAATAAATATTTTATTGTGTTATTTTATATATTTTTTTCGATGCAAATTTATATTATTCCGAATGCAATATTTCTATATATTTCTATTTTATTTAAATTCTTTTAAGTGAAATTTGGAAATCGCAAAATTATTTTATATAATTAAGAATTATATTTTAAAAAAAATTAATATAATTTTAAGCCTTCATTTTGGAGTTGGCATGATGATATTTTAAATATTTTTGTTTTTCATTATTTTTCTCCCTTTAAAATTTCTATTACAGTCATAATGTTAGTATTCAGTCAGAAAAAATAATTTCCAAGGAGATTGTAACTAAGCATTTATCGTAAATCTATCATATTTTAGCCTATAATGATATTATATTTTTTAGGATGACAATTAATATTTATTCATAATTTGGAAGTTGTATCTATAGTTTATCCGGAAAAATCATGCAAAACTTAACTAAACAATTCAAAAAATACGCAAAAAAAATAATTACTAAACCACGCTAAATGACAGAAAGTAATGCAAGGAGACCAAAAATATGAAAGCAAGGAAAAAATTTCAAAATTCTATAATTAAAATATTATAATTACAGAAAATCACTCAAAATGACCCAGGAAAGCATGCGAAATGTCGAAAAGATCATGTGGAATGAAACAATATCACAAATGCAAAAAAACGCCAAAATAATTAACACAATTTATAGATATATAATAACATATATATGCAAAAACATAATGACATAAGCAATAAATACCCAATAAATGGCGTTAATTTTCTAATTTACTATAGTATACAAATATTTTTAGCTTTTTGCCCTCCTACTTAAATATTCCTGGCATTTTAGTTTTATTATGAAAATCTTAAAATTTAAAAATGTTATTTTTTGAATATTTTTTTATTGATATGAATTAGAGATCTGCAAAGGCTTAGGCCCGGCCCGGGCCCTAATTCTATTTAAAATAATTGGGTTCGGGCCGAACCGGGCCTGAAAAATTTTTTAAAAAAATTCGGGTTCGGGCCGGGCCGGCAAAACTTTTTTAAAAAAAATTTCGGGGCCGGGCCGGGCTTGAAAAATTAGGCCCGATGCAGATCATTAATATGAATAATATTCATGCTATTTCAAATATTTAAAATGAAGATATTTGAATACGAAAATAAGAAACTAAACAAAAAAATAATAATTAAATTTGTTTTCAATCTAAAATATGGGTTCGTTAAATAATTTATATATTTTATTTAAAAATATTATATTAAAAATTTCCATTCAATTTAGTCTAAAATATGTTTTTGTTTTAACAAAAAAAAATGTGTCTAGGTGTTAAAATTTGTTTTTTTATTTATACCTATAGTTTATCTACACGTGTAATAAATTCATTATAATTTTATCTTAAAGAACTCAAATTTATTTTCTAAACATTTTTTTTATTTTGAACCTATTAAATATATATGATGTTAAATTATATCGGATTTATCACCTTAATCTCTTATGTATTCTTTGTGACAAGTAAAAGATAGTCAAGTTAAACTAATATATCATTTTTACTTTAATTTTGTTTTTTACCAATTTTAGTCAGCGTAAGCCATGGTAATATATCTTCATTCAATATTTTTATGTTGTTTTATTTAACTTAACTCAGGTAAATGAATATCAAATTAAATTAAAATAAACTCCTCACATTTAGGTTTTTAAAAAAATAATATTTAATCAATTTTAGCCAAAGTTCCAACCGAGGAAGGTAATATATCTTCATTTAATTTTTTATGTTGTTTTATTTAAGTTAAATCATGTAAATGAATATCAAATTTAATTAAAATATATACTCCTCACATTTAGTTTTTTTTAAAAACAATATTTCATTTCTTGAATACTCTTTTAAATCAATGAGAACATAGACGTCGTCTCTGCATCCCGGGAGGGGGGGGCATGTCCTCTATTGTAAAACAATTTAAGTTATATTTATAATACCTTTCAGTGAAGCATATTTTTTTTGATATACTGTAAACTTACTTGAAATAATATTTTATATTTTTCATATAATTTCTTTCTTCCTTTCCAAATAAGCCTTTTAATGGAAGTGTGTAGTTGTCGGCACATACCATTAATCCCAAAACTTATTCCAGGATTTAGTGGGTAAGTGATTTAATATAACATAACTGGAGCCTTTAACTCACAAAGGGCTGAACCTGATGATTGAGTTCTGTTTGAAACACCAATGCCCACAAATTAAGCACTTAACATTAATAGAAGGTTAAGACCATTTGCTTTATGCTCCGAAACTTTGCCCTTCATTCTTAGGCTTAAATCTAATTCATTGTTTTCTCTGATGCCGATTGTTAGAATATTAAGGGAAAATGATTAAAATTTATACTAAATTTTTTTTTATATTTAATTGCTGATATTGTTTATGATGAAGAACAAAATTGTCATAAAATCAATTTGTTCCTCAAATAGTTTCGCCAATATAATGCACCAATGTTTTGAATCAAGTTTTTGATTTTTATAAATAGGTCAGAGAGTAGGAATTAACTAAGAATGTTAATTAATCTTAATTTAAATTAATATAATAAAATATAAAAATTGAATTATCTCATAGCATATTTTGTGACATATATCAACCCCCCCCCACTCCTCTCCCACCTCCTGACAAATTGAGGCGGCATACTAAATCTATCTCTGCCAAAAAGAATATTACGACGAATTAAGATATGCTAAATTTCTCTAAATTTAAACTAAAAGATTTATAAATAAGTTAGATTTCCGAAACATATAATAAAAAATTAAATAAAATTTAAAATATTTTAATATACTTAGAATTAAAATAGAATTTCATTATTATTATTAATAAAATTATTATATTTTATTATTATAAAGAATTAGACTATGCCAGTATTTTCGCTCAGAGTATTGAAAGAATTGGATGGCTCAATGATAGTATGAATCCATAATTATATTTTTTTTAAATAATATATCTTACCAATTCCATAGGTGTTGCAGCGTTAGGGAAGGGACAAAATGGTGCTTGGCTCCTATATTTATTTTTTGAAGGCAGCAGACCTAAAATTTTGTTAAGAGTCAGTTTGCGGAGGATTTATTTTATAGTTTAAAATTTAAAAATGGCCACCTGTGTATTTGATTGAAGCGATATATTTACAAAAATCATTTTTTGCAAATCTAAAATTGCTGCTAATATTTTTGAAGCGGACGGCAAGTAAATCAAAAGATAAAAGTTGCAATATTCTAGCAATTTAAAAAAATATGTTATATGTGTTTTCCTTTTAATCTTTGCTCTACCCATAAGGATATAAATGCTTACCATCAAGATATAAATAATACTCAACTACGGAAGCCATTTTAGAGATTGGTTTAAATTTGTGTTTATGTTTGTATAATTTAATTTGCAACTTTTAATAAGCGCGTGTATCTCTTCAAATTGTAAATTTTATTGATTTTCTTATATTTAAATTTCAATTTGAACTTTATTAATATATTAATTTAACTTATTGTATAAGTTCATATTTGTTATGCGTGTGAATGATAAATAAATTACTCCTAGATCCTCTTAAGAATGCTATTTGTTATTAGAATGATTTTGTGATTTAAATAATTTAAAAATTAGCGCTTCAAAAAAAAAATAAATAAAAATAAATTTAATATTTGCGCTTGCGCGCCATATGACCAATTGTGAAACGCATAACGATTTTTCGATATCTCTCTAATATATGTATTTTTTTAAAAAAAAGTCACCTTGAGAAAAATCTCACATGAATATGATTATGTTAATGTAAAGTCAGAATATTGCTGTGATCAAATTTAGACAATAAAATGTATGAGATAAAATTTAGGCGATAATTTGAATAAACCAAATAAATTTAGGCCGCGTTCAAGTTTGATTTTTGTTTCTCCCAATGCATTAAGACCTGACTGTGCCAACTTATTTGCGTTTCATATTTTTACATTTTTAGAAATAGAAATAGGCCGCTAAAAGGCATCTCTTTTTTTTAACTCTTATTTTTACGAAATAGTAAATTAAAATGGAATAGTTTGTGTTATTTATCCCGCTCTGCATTTACAGTTGTTGTTGGTCTTCCTTTATTTATAATCAATTTTTTTCATACCTCAAAGGATAATTCTTTAAATATATTTTTTTAATAAATACAATTTATTTTAATTATTCTTTTTAAAAATACAAAAATTTCTATTTGCGGCCCTTTCAATGCTCATTTTTTTTAAAGATATAAAATTATTACACGACAACATTTTAAAAAACGACCCGATATTAAGATTTCAGCCAAAATAACAGAGTTGTTAAAAGATACTTTTTAAATGGATCTAGATAAAGATACAACGTCTAAAATAATATCTAGATACAGATATTTAATCAAAAATCTATCTAGATACAGATACCACATTTTTATATCTAGATACAGGATCTATCCTTTAAGAACTCTGCAAAATAATATAATAAAAGCCTCGAGATTTGGCAAATAGAGTCCTAAATCTTTCTTCCATCTATGAGAAGAATCTCCAGGATTACATAATATCATTTTGGCTAAAATCTTAATCCTTTTCCTTTTTTAATATCTACCCAAATTTGGCTTTTTAACAACGCAACACAATTTCTTATGATTTTCTTATTTATTTATTTTAAAAAAATGAAAATTATCTTTCGTTTATTTTTAATGCATATAAATTTTTTTAATAATGGAAAATCACAAATTATTTTTTGAAAAATATCCTGATTTTAAGATTTTTTTTGTTCTTCTAAATATTGGGAGAAATGGAGTTTATTTTTTTTTAAACTCTTAAAAGACGAAATTTTCAATTTCATTCCTGAATGTATTTTTTTTAAGCTAGTTAAAGATAGTTATAAATTATATATATTATATATATAAGTAAAAATATTAATGTAGCAAAAAAATATTTTTTCCGGTATAATATTAACTTTTAATGTTATTAAGATTATATTCGTTTCCTTTTATTTGATAATTTTTTTTTAGGTTAATATTAAGAGGGAAGCAATGCTTTTCCGGCTTTTATTGACGCTTCTACGGCGGACAAATAAAATGGAATGATATAATATTGATAATATCTTATAAGTTATTTTTTTTATTTTTTACTATCAATTATATTTAAAAGATGTGATATATCATTACTTACAAAATTTGTTAATCGTAGTATTTTGAAAAAAAAGAAGGTAAATTGACAGAAGTTAATGGGTCTCACGTTCCAATGGCTTATTGTAAAATAGCTATTCAGGAAAAGATTGAAGTTGAAAACATCATATGCATTCAATTTAATTCAGATGGGAAAGAAGTAATATTTGATAATAACAAATATAACTAAATATATATAATAAGTAAAATGATTATTATAAAATTATATCTTACAATTTGTGAAAGGTTGGAGATAAATCTTAATGATATGTTTGTCCCCTTACCCATTCTAAGATTTATAAAATTTGCATTTTTATGAAGTAGAATGTAAATTTATTTACCAGTGACCAAGTTTACTAATAGAGAGTCAATTGTGTTTTTTTATTTTGCTTTATAAAAGTTATTGTTCGATATAAAAAAAAGAAATTTTCATTTGAAATCAATGACAGATTAGATAATCGATGTTCATTCATGCTGCATTTTCTAGCATACTATTTCTTTTTAAAAATAAAAATCCCCGCTTCATCCTCTTTAAAAACTACCTAGAAATCGGTTTCCAACCAGCATAAATTTATAAAAAAAATTAGGAATAAGCTTCATTTAAATTGCCAATAATTTTTGGGGGAAATAGTGATAAAATCTTTGTAATTCGCTATCCAGTGCAAAGAACCTCATGGGATTTTTTTTTAATCCAGCCTGGCCCAGGCCCCTAGTAAAAAAAAATTTTGATCCTGACCCGACCCATATTTAATATTAAAAAAAATTCCCAGGTCCGGCCCTAATCCATAATAAGTTTCAAAAATATTTCCCAAGCCCTTATCCTTATTGTATTTAATGAAAATATACAATATTTAATTGTATTTAGGCAATCACTTTGTTTGCAATACTGAAATTTATTATTATTAGAAGCAGAAAAATAATAAGTTAGCAACTGTTTTATTAATATAACGTGCAGGACTTTAGCCGGGCCTGATCAAAAAATTAATGCCCATGAAGGTCTCTGACTAATTAAATATTAATTTTATACATGTAAAAAATTTTTAAAAAAATATACTCATCAAAAAATATTGAGGATTTTATTTAATCGCCATTTTATTTTTGTTGTAATTTTTTTTACCTAGTAAAAATAGTATTTCTCACTGAAATTTGCCATATCAAATATTTGAATCTATTTGCTTTCAACTCTTCTTTTATTTATTTATTTTTTAAAATCTATTTCATCATATTATAGTTAAGAAAATACATTCAATGTAAGGGAGTTGTTTCCGAAATATTAGCACAGAAATCTAAAAGCGTCCATACTTATGTAATCGTTAAAGCAGATGAAAGGAAATTGGGTGAAAATGTTTTGTATGTAGAATAATCAATGCAATGATACAATTCCTTATTTTTAATTGCAATTTTTATGATTATTCAATTTAATTTTTGGGATTAAAAGTGATTTTGACTAACGAAACATCAATAATTAACATTAATTATAAATATGTATTTCTATTTTTGACTAATAAAATAAAGAGATTTCATAAATATTTTATAAAAACCGGATTTAAATGTTGACCATGATATTGACACTACGAGTATTTAATAGTTAGCCTTATGCCTTTGTTTAATGTTTTATAATTCTAAAAAATTCGTTAAAAAATAATCTCTTTCGAGGAGACCGGGGTAAAGTGATTGATGGGGTAACTATGTTAACGCGAATTTTTAAACCTTGAGCATACAAACTTTAAATTTGATTTTGGAAATTTTTATACATAACTTTTTACCTCTATTCATCTTTTGGGAGATATTCATGGTTTGACATATTTTGTCAAAAAACAGTTTTTTTTTGCTCAAAAATTATGCAAATAAATATTAAGTATATTTTGACTGAAAAAAATATTTATCCTCATTTCTACACAAGTTCTTTATAGTCTTAGCTATAAAATAAAATTTATTTGAAGTTTAAAGCTTAACTAGGACACATAACGCCCACATACCAACCACATCAGACACATTCATTTCCCTCCCACCTACCACTCACGTCGACATCATTAACTTTCTAAAATCCGACAAACCTCCCATTATTTCTAGAATTCCCAAAGGCTCTAGAAAACAAGTAGCCAAAGCTCTCTCTACCTGTCTTCATTCACTATTAAATAACTTTTCCTCTCTAGATCATTGGCTCAAACTTTTTTCATTTTCTTTCACGACTCTCCAACCTCCCAATCCTGAGATTCATCAAATCTTTAACCCAACAAATTAAAGACGCAACCATACACCCCCTCACCCTCATATCCACTTTTTCTCCTCATAATTCTAAAAAACTTTCCAGCCTCCAATTAAAGGCTAAGATAATTTCTAACAAAATAAACAATCTAAACATCAAATCTGCTCTCCGCTTACTAGCATCTGACGACTCAATTGCAACCAGTAATGAGGAGAGCTACAACAAACTTAAACTTAAGCACCCTCCTGGAGGTGACCTCATACCTCCTCCTCCGCCCAACATATTTCCTACTAATTTCACCCCCGTCGAGGTGCGCAAAAGTATCCTATCCTTTCATCACGACTCCTCGCCCGGGTATGATGGGCTTCGCCCCATCTTCCTCCAGGACCTTACATCCCCCCTCATAGTCAGCCAGGTCCCTATTTTACAGAATCTAACAACATTCTGCAACAAAATTGCACATGGACCTGTTCCCGAATCCATCAGGCCACTCCTGTTCGGCGCTAAATTAATCGCACTCGAAAAGCCGAACAAGGACATCCGGCCGATAGCAATCGGGACCGTATTCCGTCGCCTCGTTGCTAAACTCATAGCTTCCAAAATTAAGGACAACGCAGCCTTAATTTTAGCACCCCATCAACTCGGTATTGGCATCCAGGGAGGTTGCGAAATAGCCACACACGTTACTCGCATCCATCTCCAAACCAACCCTAGCGACGAAATCCTCGTCAAAATTGATTTTTCTAACGCCTTCAACTCCATTCGCCGTTCCCACTTTCTTCCACAAATATACCACTCATTTCCCACCTTCTCCCAATTTTTCCACTCCTGCTATTCCAAGCCATCTCATCTCCAATTCAACAACTACTTACTTTCATCATCTGAAGGGATCCAGCAAGGCGATCCTCTAGGCTCGATACTTTTCTGCATTGGAATCAACGAAATGGTCAAAAACATTTCTACCAACTGCAATCTTCCACTCCACACTTGGTACATCGACGACGGAATGTTCTGCGGCTCCCCTCACGAGGTCGCCAAGGCCCTCGCCATCATTAATACACATTCCGCCGCAATTGGACTTTCACTTAACGAACAAAAAACCGAGATCTGTCCACTTCATTGTTCCATCCCATTCACCCATAACTTCCTTACAACCGAGCTATCATCCCTCACTCATCTCGGCTCACCTGTCGGTGGCTTGCAATCCATTAATCACTTCTTCTCTAACGCGTCATCTAGCTTACTTCATTTCAAAAACATCTCTAAATTTCTCCCTCGCCATCAAGCTTTTTTTCTCCTCAAAAACTTTTACTACATTCCTAAAATTCTTTACGCTCTTCGATCCACCTCAATCTTTAAATTTCCCGACTCACTAAAATCATTTGAAACTTCCGTCAAATCTCTTGCCGAAGAGATCCTTAATCTTCGCTTCAACCATAATTCATGGCTACAAGCATCACTTCCATGCAAGCTCGGGGGCATCGGCTTACGCTCACCTTTAACTCTTTCCATCAGTGGATTCATCGCCTCCCGCCTCTCATCTGACTCACACATTAGCCAGCTTTCTCACTTTCCTGACCCATTATTAGCTGAAGCCCAGACCATTTGGGACAATTCCGTTGTCCCAAACACTCCTCGACCCTCCTCCTGTTTACAGAGAGACTGGGATACTCCACTCAACGAAGGCTCCGTCGCTTACCTAAAATCGAGCCTTCATGACGACGATCTCACAGTCTTTCACCAATTAAACCAAGGATCGGGTTACGAGTTTCTGGAAACTATACCCTCCAACAACCTCGACTTATTGCTGACCGCTGACGAGCTAAGATTTGCCATTGGATTACGGCTCAATTGCGAAATTGTTCTACCATACCAATGCAAACACTGCGAAACCAGCGTCGATCGCAAGGGCAGACATTGCCTCCATTGCCGCTTTTGCCGAGGCCGTTTTCCACGGCACACCAATTGCAATGACATCATATTGCGCGCTCTCAAATCCGCAGGCATTCCATCAAGACTTGAACCGACCGGCATTTTTAGATCCGACGGAAAACGTCCTGATGGAATGTCCTTGATTCCTTGGTCAAGGGGCCAGCTACTAGTCTGGGACTTCACCTGCATAGACCCAAATGCACCATCCAACCACAACGTCGATGCCCTCGCTCTAGCAGAAACTCGTAAAACTATCAAATATAGTTCCATATACCCCTCTTTCTTATTCATACCTATCGCCTGCTCTACTCTTACCACCTTCGGTAGCAAAGTTCTAAGTTTTTTTAAAGAATTAGGCAAACGGATTCGGGAAAAAACCGATCAGCCTAAAGAGTCCCTTTTCTTACGACAAAGATTTGCTACCGCCATCATTCGCTCTAACTACCTAAGTTTCATCTCTTCCATTGAATAATCTCCTATGTCTATGCTCTCTCTCTCCCTTCTCTTTCCTAGTTTCCATTCTTTTATCCCTTACCCTCTTTCGCAAATTATATATTTATATTTTTTTTACCTTTATTAATTTTACCATATAAATTACTTGTATATATACATTTATATAAAAGCATGTTAATAATTTATTCCAAACAGTAGTATAAGAAATTTATTGTAAACATAAAAAAAAAAATAAAATATATATCATTATCTGCAAAAAGAGAATTTTATAATATTAACCTCCACACCATATAAAAAGATATTTTGGGGAAACATAAATACGCTGTGTTATATGGAATAAAAAATTCAAAAATAAGTGCAAAGGTAAGGAATATTTGGAATCCACAATTTGATTAAAATGGACAAATTCTACCTTATTTTTGATAATTAATTTATATTCCCTTAATTGTATTGATTAGACAATAATTAAAAGTAACAAATATATGTCAAAATAGCTAATATGTCCAATAAAGTTATGTTAAATTTTATTTTAACCATTTTAAATAACGATCTCATCAATAATAAGCCCAGTCCAAATTTTTTTAAGAAAGTTTTATCTAAATATATAGAAATTAATTTTTTCTTAAAAATTGTTAAACCCAAAATATGTGATACGTGATATATAGCGCTTTTGCCCACGAAAAACAAGAATTTAAATAAATTAATTTGTCTTAGTAAGTTAAATCTACTAGAGATGTATTTGATAATAATATTATTTGTGCTTTAATTGAACGAAATTTTGGATTGTGAGCTCTCATTTGAAATATCTCTCTTTGATGCGAAATAATTTTTTGATATTTAGTTTTATAAATTGTTTCATATTAATATTTAATTCCATCACATCCTTTATAGTTTTGCAGAGTACCATAGTGATTTGTATTTCGTGTACTGTTTCCTTTTGTATGCCTAAAGCCATGTTACCGCATCGTGTACTAGATTGTGATCAGAGTTTCTTTGGCGTTTTTTGACGTTATGTTTATTGGTGTATGATTTGACTTTTTCGAGTTTGAAATAATCCTTAACCCAAAATAAAGATATATGTCATATGGCGTCTAGTTTCTACAAATAAAATTAAATATTTTTATTTTACATAATCATTGGCACCTTTTTTGATCGATATAAATATGATCCAACATAAAATTGATAAATTTAGATATATTTCAAAAATTCCAAGGCCCGTCCCTGCTCGAACCCTTTTTATTTTTAAAGAATAGAAGTTAAAGGCCGGGTCCACTTTTTCCGATCTATAATATAAATAATTATAGAAATATTATTTATAACTTATATAATTGTATAAATTACCAGTTAAAACAATGGCTGAAGCTAATTTATACTTTTCATGTGCAATAAGGTGTTAAACTAAAAATGTCCAACCTTTGACCCTAGAATCCTAATTAGAAATACGCCGATGCCGCAGTCTATAGTTTTTTTAGACCTTTTTTATTATTCAATAAAATAAAATAATAATAATAATAATAATAATAATAATAATATTAAAAAGAGTTGCTCCTCTTCTGAAAAAATGCAGATCGATAGTTTTTCTTCTAACTCATTAAACGTTGAAATTTAAATTTAAGAATCATCAAAATCCTTCCCTCGAAGTAGTGTTGTTAAACGGCTCGTTTTGAGCCGATTTTTAAAAACGGTTAACTCAATACTTCATCCAGAAAAATATTACCGAACCCTGAAGATTTGCTCATAGAAGGAACAAAGGTCTAGACTCGAAATCTTGAGGCTAAGGCAATATTTTTATGGCTAAAATATTGAGTTAGCCGTTTTTAAAAATCGGGTCAAAACGAGCCGTTTAAC